CGCCGAAGCGGCTCGTGCAATTTCAGCTTTTTGAAAAACTCACTCGTGCAAATTAATTCCAAATTGAACTCGAAACCGTATGATTACCTATACTAACGATCATGGCCAGGTTGTTCGGAAGGCAGTTAACCCCAACCCAGGATTAAAAGTTAACCGAAGTATATGTTTCTCTTGTAAACAAATGTTCTTCATTGCTTATTCAAACTCAAAACAGAAGGCCACACAATAAAAACAGAAAATCTCACCACAAAAATACAAAACTTGAATCAAAATTCTCGCTTAACCTGGGTTAGCTTAATCAGGCTTTGAACAACCCGGCCCAGAACTTTGTTTTTAGCTTTGGCTAAATCTGTATATTATCAGTTTAAATAGCAGTCATAGCAATAATTTTGTTTGAAACTGGACCACCCCTATGGTAATTCCATTTCATTTTCCAATGGCATAATGAGGAAGTCTGATTATCCAGATCATATTTCATGTCTTAAAATTTCACAGTATATTGACTATGACAAAAACATGAGTACCTGTGCATGTAACTGTAACTGTTTATGCTTTAAAACTGTATCCATCGACACTAATCAATTGATTGTGACTTTTTAACCGTGGATTTTGTAGGTGTACACTACTGATTTCTTTCACTTATCCATCATTTTTTCCATTCACTATACTTTTTATATTAATTTGTCATCATTTACATTGTTTTACTGGTTTATAGAGCAGTTTCAAAGTTGTTAATATGGTTTTTGCAGGAGCAAATATTTCACTAAGCTGCATTCTGGAAACTATTCAGAATATTGAAAACTAGTTGGTTCAAGCAACGTAATTAAAAGGCGGGCTAAGTTCATTTACTAGGTACAGCACTTTAATAGTTTTGGTCATGTTCAATTAGACTAATTATTAAGGTCATTCCCTAGTAAAAGAACCCGCCATAGATTTCCGATGAAACTTGGTATGCTGAACATTGCTACAGGACAAGGAGATATTAAAAACGTAGTAAAAAGAGGGGGTCACCATGCTTGTTTTCACACCACAATGCTGACAAACACGGTTATTTAGGTGACTTTTAGTAATCTCCACGCGCAACAAATAAGCTTGATTATTTTTCAATGCAGCGCGTTATATCACACAGAGTTTGACTTTCTTTGATTGTTTATTCATCTACATCCCCGAAAAAATGTCTTCCAATACGCTGCATTTTTTAATCCTTTAAAGGACACATAGTTTGGACATGCGCTGTTGGGCCCATTGTGTCTCCCTCTGTAGTATTTATTTCATTTGCCAAAAAAGTAGCCATAGATTTCTGCTAATTTTTTTCTTATCTTGATATTCAGCCAAAGAATACCAGGGTTCTACATAAAAAGTTATTAGACCTGAACATTTGCACTTTGTTTTAAAATGGCGACCATACTTGTCAACATGGCCGATGTTTGACATCATACACTCTTCGATCTATGAAAGACACGGGATTCCAATATCGAGAAGTAAAGTTCTTAGAGACAGTAGTATATCGTGACATTCGGCCAAAAAGTACCGAGGCACTACAGATCATTACATAAAACGTTACTAGACCCGAAAAGTTGCACATAGTTTTAAGATGGCGGCCTTTCGACTCGTGGAAGAGATGTGATTATATATTCTAATATCAAGAGATGAAGTACTTAGCGACCGTATTGTATTTTGATATTCAGACAACAACTACCAAGGTACTACATAACAAGTTATTAGACCCAAAAGGTCAGTCGCACTTTGTTTGAAGAATGCGGCAGCAGTACGGTCAAACAGTATTTATTTCTGAAAGTGAAGAATGATCATCGCAGTAAATTTTCCAATTTAAGCAATTGGAAAGAGAAGCCTGAAAAAATTCAGGGCTTCAGGGCTTCCTGAATTTTTTTTTTTTTATTGGCTTCTTCTTTCCAATTGCTTAAATTGGAAAATTTACTGCGATGATCATTCTGCACTTTCATCTACAACCGCAGTTCTAATATGAATTATTTCATGTAAACTTCACAGTGTTTAGTTTTCTTACTGAATCACAAACTATTACACCTCACTACTGTCCAGTAACTGAATAGCCTTCTCTTTATCATATCCATGGCTCATATTCGGCTGTCGCTGTTGATGTTAAGCTAATACAATCATTTTTCTAAAGGTAACGATAGCACTTAAAACAAAGAATACGTGTGACGGTGTGAACACACTGGAGCTACACCGACCAACGTTACAGTAATCTTCGCCGCAGCACATCTTGCAGTATTCTTCGCCATCCTTACTCCAGTCTACCAATTCCTTGTCGCATTTGTTAATGCAATCTCGATGGAACCTTGTCTCCTCGTGCCTGCCATCCTTTACAACCACACAGAAGTTATTTCCTTCTGAACAGGTTGTGCTACTTGTGCCATTGACGGAGTCCTCTGGGCAAGCTTCGTTACGAGAGTCACAGTGGTAGCAAATCCTCGCTTTAAAAATAAAAAGAAAACGCGTTCTGTTTGTTAGTTTGTATACAGTTTTGTATCGATAGACAAGTTAAATACAATAATATATTCCACTTTTGACTTAATCGAGACTTATCAGGGTTTGTGTTTGCTTCGAGCCGTCTGATTGGTACATTGCCGTTTCGGCGTATGTTGTCATACTGAAGTTTTGAGTGGTTTTTGTCTCCCCCCAGTCCCTAAAAAACACAACCAGGAGCCCCGGACACAATCCAAAACTAACAAACTTGGGGTAAATGAACAGCGCATAGACCTGACAGAGTCATTTACTATACAGGCATTATGGTGCGTAAAGAAGATTCTAGAGAATAGACGATGAAGATAATGGCGACGATTGTTATGACGGTAACGATGATAATGACGACGACTACGGTGATGATGTTGATGATGATGATGGTGATGATGATGACGATGATGATGATGACGATGATGACGATGATGATGATGATGATAATGATGATAATGATGATGACGATGATGACGTTGATGATGGTGATGGTGATGATGATGATGATGATGATGTTGATGATGATGATGATGGTGATAATGAGGATGATGATGACGTTGATGATGATGATGATGATGATGATGATGATGTTGATGATGTTGATGGTGATGATGATGACATTAGGCCTACAGACACAGTGATGTTTCAGTCACGGACCAATCACTCACCAGTTGCATGATGTAAAACATGTGTTAGAAGAAACACAACAAGCAAGGATGATCGTATTGAAACTCGTCTCATTTCCGGAGAACAGTTCATCAGCAATTTCCTGTTAGGGATAAAAGATTGTTCTACATAAGCGCGGCGTTAATATTCCTTCTTTTTTTTCTTGCGACAGTCGAGGTGACAGTTGTGATGTCAACATGGAAAATCAGAAGATGAGAATGAAAAGCGCAGAGACTGCGATGAGAGTTAGTAACTCTTAACCACCTTTTCATCTGAGTAAAACTAAACTAATTTATAACTAATAGATCCGTTTTTGCGAGATTTGATTGGCTGGCTGAACTAGAATTGCGCAGGATGATACAACAGTCGGTACAATACACGCCGTCCGGGTGTCAAGCAATCATGTTGGCCGCGGTACCTAAGTTTTTGCATGCAGTAGACAACCCAGTACCCCGAGACCCACTGCACATCTGCTGGAAGAAACAACTCGAAAAATGTAGAGATTATTAAAAAAAAAAAA